TTTTTATTTTTCTTATAATTATGATAAAGCTGCTTTGGTACAATGGTTATTGTGAAGAGTGCTGTAGTTGAGTTCCTGTGTTTAATTCTGGTGTGTTCTGTGTTGTTTATCAGTCTCTGGCTGAAGTGGCCACGCTAGTCGCTCGCTCGCTCTACACACAAGCTGGAGGAGAGCAGAACAATCTCAGCAACATCACTGCTGATGCCACTATGGTGAGACACACACACACTCATACACACACACACACTCACACTTCATACACATACGCTCACTCACTTATGCTACTCACACCAAAACACACACACACACTCTTGATTCTCACATGATGTCATGTGACTCTGCTCAGCTGCTCTCTTCCTCTCTTTCCATTTAAGACATTTACAAAAGTCTGAATTATTCGCCCAACTTTGAATTGTTTATCATTTTTTAAATATTCCCCAAATGATGTTTAACAGAGCAAGGAAATGTTCACAGTATGTCTGATAATATTTTTTCTTCTGGAGAAAGTTTTATTTGTTTTATTTCGGCTAGAATAAAAGCCGTTTTTTATTTTTTAAACACCATTTGATAAACACCCTTTAAGCAATATTTGTTCTCGATACTCTCCAGACCAAACCATCGTTATACAATAACTTGCCTAATTCCCCTGACCTGCCTAGTTACCCTAATTAACTTAGTGAAGCCTTTACATGTCACTTTAAGCTGTATAGAAGTGTCTTGAAGAATATCTAGTCTAATATTATTTACTGTCATCATGACAAAGAGAAAATAAATCTGTTATTAGAGATGAGTTATTAACACTATTATGATAAGAAATGTGCTGAAGAAATCTGCTCTCTGTTAAACAGAAATTGGGGGAAAATTTCAGGGGGGCGAATAATTCAGGGGGCTAATAGTTCAACTGTATTTGATTTTTATGATTATTTAAAAACCTTTATATATGATATTGATGTGTGTGCGTTTGTGCATTCGTGTGTGCGTGTGTGTGTGTCCCTCAGGTCTCTCAGCTGCTGTATGGTTTTCTGGTGCAGAAGAATAACAGCTGGTTTCGCTCTCTGCTTCCTCCTGAAATCACTAAAAAAGGAGGCAGCAGCATTTTGAGTGAGTTTCAGCTGTTTATTCACTATTAAATCTCTCAAACACACTCTGCATATAAATACAGACATCCAAACTTAAAAGCAGATCATCAGTCATGGGTTTCAAACACAAGCTCATCTCGAGGAACCAGAATCATTGATTGTTATCAATCCATCCAATCGTTATCATGTCTTATGTTTTTAAATTTACGTTATATTACAAGACACTCATATTAAACATATTTTCCAAACGATGTTGAACAGATTTAGGAATTTCAGTATTTCTTATAATATATTTTTTCTTCTGGAGAAAGTCTTATTTGTTTTATTTCGGCTAGAATAAAAGTAAATATTATTCGCCCCTTCAGCAATATTAGTGTTGGATTGTCTCCAGAATAAACCACTGTTATACAATGACTTGCCTAATTACCCTAACTTTACCCTGATTACCCTAGTGAAGCCTTTACATGTCACTTTAAGCTGTATAGAAGAGTCTTTAAGAACACATTCATTCATTCATTTTCTTGTCGGCTTAGTCCCTTTACTAATCCGGGGTCGCCACAGCGGAATGAACTGCCAACTTATCCAGCAAGTTTTTACACAGCGGATGCCCTTCCAGCCGCAACCCATCTCTGGGAAGATCTTAAAGAATATCTAGTCTAATATTATTTACTGTCATCATGGCAAAATTAAAATGAATGAATTATTAAAACTATTATGTTTCTAAATGTGTTTTTAAGAAACTAAATCTCTCTCTTAAACAACGCTTGGGAAATATTTTTAAAAGAATTCAAATTTGACAGGAGGGTGAATAATTTAGTCCTCCACTGTATGTGAATCAGTCAGAGCCTCATAACAGATTCTCCTGTGTTTCTCTGTCCGTCTTCATCATGTTTCTCTGGTTTACTGCAAATATATATTTTTATAACGCCCTATTTGATGTCATCAGATGATGTTTTTTTATCTGGAGAGACTTTAAAGGAAATATTGCTTAAAATAATGCTAGTGTTTTTTATCCAAAGTAAATCTTAAAGGGTCATGACACCCCCCCAATTTAGGTTTAAGTCTACCTCAGAATTTTTTCAAAAGATGCATCATAATGGGGGTGGAGCTTCGCGAGCAGAGGCAGGAGTGGGCGTGGCCAGCAGGGGAGAAGGAGGAGAGCGAACAACTTGTCAGTCAGCTCACAAAATGAGACACAAAGCGTAAGGAGACGCATGAGTTTATAGTTCACAAAGTTGAAATGCAGAGAAATAAATTGCCCTGCTGCATTTGTTATTCGTAATTACATGTACAGATAACCACAATTTATATCATTATAAAGATAATGGTGTTCATATAAACACTATAAATGAGGACTTCTCTCTCAATATCCATGTCTGAATGCAGACTCAGTGCAGCAGGTCTCTTGCCCTGTCTATTTTAACCATTAGCCCTGCTGGTCATCTGGAGGATTTAGACAAACACAGCAGCATGACGATGTGTCTAAATGTGAACGAACTCCACTAATATAGGCTAAAGTCCACTATTCTCTGCCATACTGCTCTCACGACAAAAATGCTTGCTGCACACACACAACTTTGCTGTATCGGCCCTGATAGCATCCCAGGGAAAAACATGCAACAAACCACTTGGATCATGGAAACAAACACATTTGACCCTTCATGAACAGCTCAATACTGTGTGCTGTGGGTTTGTGGACGCGATCTCACCCAGTCATTAACATATGGTCTCACAGCTTGGCACTGGCAGGTCTGCCTTGCCTTCGGAAAGCATGTGCAGTCATGAATAATTAAGAAGCCGCCTCTCCTCATAGGATAAGAAAATGAATATGAATAATAATGAGAAACCGACTCGTCGTCTTTGCACTTGCAACCCACTTTAAACCCGGAAGCTGAAATCAGCTGACAAAATCTCCAAATTATCCAGTTTACCCACAATTAAAGCTGACTGATGCTCAACACACACACATCTGTTAACATCTCAAAACAAGTACTCGAGGATTTCGTGAACCTTTAAAGAACTGTTTTAGTTTTTTATCTTATGTATTGTTTATTGCTGATGATGTTTTTTATTGTTATATTTTTTACAGAAAAGTGTTATTTAGCATATGTTGTAAATTTGATCTGGTTTTGCCATGAAATAGCCAGAGAAGCTGATATTAGGGCTGCTCAATGTGAAGTTTAGTTAGAAACTAATTTGGAGAGGATCACATGCTCATGATTGATCACAGCCGGTCCTGCATTAATCAATTTACGATTCACCAATCAGACGATTCCTAAGCCACTATAAAAACCCTCAGTTCCATATCACAGCCATCTTCATTATGTAGAATCCCCCCTTCCACCCCTGCTCCTCCTCCTTTCCTAGATGGGTGGCACGGTGGCCCAGTAGTTAGCACTGTTGCGTCACGCCCTATTCACACGGGGCTTTAGTGTCAACGCTTGACAGAGGGGCGTGTCTGAAGTTGCTGAAACGATCGTCATAGAAGCGTCAGCCAATGAAATTCAGTCAGCAATAGGCCACTGTCTGAGCTGGTGTATTTGCATACAGCGATCTGATTGGCTGGCGCTTCCGTCGGCGCTTGAAAAGTTGAGCTGGTCCCAACTTCTGCAGTGAGGAACGCTTCTGAAGCGGCGCCGACGGATCCACAATGCAGTTCAGCAACGCCTGACGTCACCCATTCAAAGTGAATGGGAAGCGTTGACGCTGACGCCCTGTGTGAATAGGGCGTCACAGCAAGAACGTCACTGGTTCTAGTCCTTACCAAGCCAGCCGCCATTTCTGTGTAAAGTTTACACATTCTCCCTGTGCTCCCCGTTCTCTTCGTGCTTTCATTCCAGTCTTTTCCAATATCGTGCAGCTCTAGATGATGTGGCATTAAATTCAAACCTCTCTCTCTCTCTCTGTCTGGTTTCCTGCAGGTTCTGGTCCTCCTCAGTTCTACATTGGTCTGGGTCCGCGGCTGCAGAGTCCTGTTCACAGCGTGACGCTCTTTGTTCAGTACATTCTGGCCAATCTGACGGGCAACGTCACCAACCTGACCGAGAGCCAGTGCCAAAACCCCAAAGAGCTGAGCGGCGAGAACAAAGACGTAAGCAGTTAACTCTTCTATTCACTATAGAGCTTTTTCTTAATTGCTGCACGGAGGCCACCACAGCCACCACCGTCTTAATGCTGAGAACTTCTGCTTACAGCATTTAGAACTGGTTAATCTTAATCAGAAAATGGTTGTCAATACCAGTTTGAGTGGCCTACGGAGTGATTTTGTGATTCGCAACCTTGATTTTGAAAGGTTAAAGCCGTTATACTTCTGTCAGATGCGGTTCAAGTGCAAGAGAAAAACACTCTCCTACTTCAGTGTCTGCCGTCAGGTCAGCTGCTGAAATACAGCATTATTGTTCTTAACCTGTCAGCTGTTATACTGTGCTCAGTGGCTCTTCAATGCGCACACACTCGCAATAGAACACTGCATTATAGAGCAAACCATATTACTGACATGACATTTAACAGGTATGTAACGTAGGTATGTAAAAGCTATGCAATTTCCAAAGAATAAAATAAGTTGCTGATACTCTGCTGAAACTCAAAGTTCTCTCTCTCCGATTCTCTGCTGGCTGGTTTGCATGTTGATTCTAATTAGGAGCTATTTATGTTTCATTTATTTAGTTCGTGTTGTGTAGTATTTACCACAGTGTGTGTTTTTTCTGTCATTTCAAAAAGCCACTTTATTTTCACTGTGTGCCAGCCTTTCAATCCATGTGTTCGTGGGACAGTACAAACTGTGTGTGTGTCAAACATGTTGGTGTATTGCATTAGTTTGGGTTGGTTATATATTTGGATAAAAGGGAAAATTACCACTTTAGCGATGACTGTGCTTTATTTAAATGGCACAAGATGCTGTCTTGACAGTAATGGTAAATGACTTGCAGAATGTTGTTTTCCATCCCATTAGATCGTATTGTGGTTAGTTTTGATTTCATATTCTTCAAAGGGCCATAAAACCCCTTGTTTCAGCGGGGTGCTTTCACACCTCTAGTTTGGAAAAAGTCAGGAAAGTGGGCGTGTCCAGCTCTGTTTAGGGGGAGTGTCGGAGGAGCAAAAGAGGGAGGGTCTGTACAAAAATTTGCATAAAAATGGGAGTGTTGACACACAGAAAGTGTTTACATGGACATCAGTAATCAAATTATTTGCCAAATGATTAAATGTTGGACTTTAACTGCAGTTTGGCTCTTTCATTCAGGAATTTCATTCATGCCCCTCGCGACAAACGAGATATTTGATTCCAGGAACTGCTCTAAGCGTGTATTTTTCATGTAATGTTTGATACCGCACGGCGAATCAGAGAAAAAAAACCCTCCACATTTCTCTGTAACTTAGATGCACTCGGTAGGTCAGAAAGCCGTGTGTGTTATTCCTGTCACAAAATGCGGTGAAAATCCTACACAACGGTAAGTTCGATACGAACTAACTTTGCCCTAAGAATAAACAAAGAGCACTGGTCGCTCACTTACCAAATCTGTAGAGACAGGACAATCACAAGCAACTAGAGCCGCGTCTTTATTAAGAGGAGACTACAAGCGAATCCAGATCTCACCATTTCCAGATGAGAAAAGCTCTCGGGTAAACAATTTTCCTTAGACACGTAAGTTATTGTTGTCGAGCGTCGCGTACACTGTTAATCCACACGTGACTCCAGCTGCGCTCTCATAGTGAGAAAATGAAAACAAAAACTTCAATGCAGCAAATTATAAACGCAACACTGCACACAACGTGGCGTCTCTCTGCCGTCTGAACACTGTAACATACCCAGGTAAAAAAAAGTGCACTAAAATGCACTTTAAGTATACTTAGTACACTTTTCAGTAATGTATTAAAAGTGCTCTATTTTCGCACACTAATTTTGTACTTAATGTACTAAAAGATAGCATTAAGTATATGTTAAGATAAACTTAATACCATCTAAGTGCACTCAACTGTGCTATATTGAGATGCCCTGAAATTGAACTAAAATGTGCTTTTAACATACTATATCTGTATTTAAAAAAATATATATTTAGTTACAACTAGAAATACACTTGAACCCTAATTTTAAACATTTAAATATATTTATGACTAATTTAAAGTATAATAGTAATATATCAAAAGAACATACAAATTGTAAAAAAAAAAAAAAGTGCTAAATACTGTAATAAAAGTAGTTTGGGAAAATGTACTTCTACTACAATACATTACTAATAGATTTTTTATATATTAACTTCTTTTAAACTTAGGATTAGTATGTAAACAGTGTACTAAAAATCAACTAATGTCGCACACTTTCGGAAAACACACTCTTTTGGAAGTTTTTTCTGTAGTGTACTTTATTGTAGTACACTAAAAATTTAATTAAGTATTACTGGTATTTAGTATACTTTTGTCAAGTGTACTAAAGTCCTACTGAAGTATAAACATACTTTTAATTAGTATATTTATAATGTAAAACCATCAAACTTTTATTTAACACAAAATAACAATGTACTAAAAATGTATTTGCGGGTATTAAAGTGTGTTTTAATTGCATTTGCGTATATATTTTTTCACTTGGGTTAATGAATATTAATGAAGTTGCACAATAGAGCGCATTGATTGGTTTGAACCAAGTCTTACTCATGAATTAATGCAGCACACTCACAGACGTAATAAGGCACTCTCAGGTACAGACGCCCAGTCTACACGCTGAAATACACGCTCAGATCTCATGACCGTAAAGCAGCTTTTAAAAAGGAACAAATTTGCTCGAAATAACGCACAAACAACCAGTTTTCATTTGTTAGTGAGATATATGTGTCCTAATAGTGTTTTTAGCAGTGTGGGACACATATATGACTGTCAACAGCTCAACACATGTGCTCTGGTGTTTCGTGACCCTTTAAAGCTGCAGTTTTCCCAGTATGCTGTGCGCTGATGTGTGTTCTCTCTCTCTCTCAGCTGTACTCGTATTTCTGGGTGTCTGGTCCATCGTCGG